GGGGGGGCTACACCCCCAAAGTCAAAATTCGGCTCAAAATTATGGAATTTGAGTTGTAGGCATTTTTAGCTTCCTCAGCCTCTCCTACAACTATTTCATAACATAAGAACCCCCCAAAAACCGTATTTTTCCCCATACCAGGCATGTTTGTCACCGCCATTTCCTCATAAAGTCAGTATTTTAATTTTCTTTATCGGCCGTTTTCTCAAAACGCGATTTTTCTCTATACTTTTTTGAATAACTCCACCATTTTTCATTCAATCTTCAAGAAATTTTCACAGAATGAAGAAAAGATATATTACTAAAACTTTGTCTGTTGAATTTTTGATATATGGAATAGATTTTTTGGGGTGATGTCTTGAGTGTGGATTTTTACGGATTTTTTGAAAACTTGAATGCTACCTCAGGAAAAAAATCCATAAAAACATTTCTGATTAGTTTAGGAAAAAACAACAGAACAATTTTTAGATCTAATGTTTGTAAACACGCATGCAAAAAAACATTTAATTTCCATGAGCGATATGTGCGGTATTCATTACGTAAGACATGTCAACAAAATCCAATATGGCCGCCGTATCCAACGAAACTAAACTTTTTTTTCAAATTTGATTGCAGTTTTAAAGACTCCTTACTATGCTTGTTATATGTGTGAAATTTGGTAAAATTCGGTACAGTAATAAGCGAGATAGCCTTCAGGTGTAACTCCCCCCCCCCTCTCCTTAAAGATAGAACGCAGTCGGTCAGTTTCCCGATAGGTCCACAGAGACAACAGTTTCCCCAATTCTTTATCTGGAAAAAGAAATATCAACAATGTCTTTGCATTCTAGCGCAAATCACTATTCGTCTCTTTCCATTTCTATGGAGAAACCTCCAGACACCATCTCTGTTGTTTATTATTGGCCATTCCTCCTGCTGGCATTTACGTGCTTTAAGTAGAACGATCTTAAGACGCTCATCCAGCCTCTATTATGCCAGGAAGATTACAAACCAAAAAAAATGGCGGTACATGCCTGTGGGTGTCTGTCAGTTCCTTACTTGAGCAAACAGATGTCTTTCCCGCAAAAACCTTGCCAGAACAATAATTAAGCTGGAGAGTGGACGGTGACCTTTGAGCACAGACGATGAGCAAATACCTAAGCGGGTCGTTATATTGTTTTGACGTTGGAAGATTGGACGACAGTGTTGTTGTTGTTTACAAGTCCAACTTCAGAGTCCGGAGCATTCTTGGTAAACGTCCCTATCTGTCTGAAAAATGTACACATCGACGCACCGATACTTTAGATACACTTGATGGTAAGATACTTTAAGTCTTCTGCAACCGGCTGTGAGCATTAGTCGACAGATGTCGCTTGACAAGCTAAGCTAGTTCATAGACTCTGACAGGTAAGGAGAGAGAGAGAGAAAGATATCATATATAGTATAATATACAGACGCTGTCATACTGTCACTTAGGCGGTTGAATCACGCAGACTGTGGTAGGTTCATACCGCCTATGTCCAGTAATTTACGTGAGAAAGTTTTTTTTAACAGTTAGTTACAGACCATTATGTTATATACATTGATGTATATATATCTGAATTTCAGCTTCATAGATACGAACATAAAGAAATACAAGTTTTTTGCTTCTCCTGCAAAAATTGTCTCTTGACCCTTATAGGGCGTTGAATCACGCGGCTAGCGATATAATATCACATATAATTATATATTATAATATAATATAATATAGAAGGTGGTCCATGTCGACCATAGGTAAACCCCTGGCTGATTAGGCCAATGCGGAACAAGCTGGTTCGGCCTCAGCGGCCGCAG